GAATCGAGCCGGGTAGGACCACAAGGGCGGCAAAGCTCTGGAACACACCACACAAACTACCAACACAAACTTAACTAATCCATTTTGTACTGTGACCAAATTTTCTAATCGCTACCTAACTTGTCATTACAAGATTCAGAAAAAACATTCCACTTTTGGTTACATTTTCCATTCAAAATATCGCGCCATATAATCAAATTTCAAAACGTAATCTGATTCAAAGGCAAAAGGCACGCGTTTCTCAAACCTTTTTTCTTACAAACACAGATTATTTTCATGCCCCAAAGTCAGTATACCTTTTGTAAGGCCACGGTTTTGACCAGAATTACTGTTTCAGTCAAGCAAATGTGATATTCAAAAAAAATCTCATTTTGGAGTTTTGAACCTTTTGTAACTCAATAATTGAAAACTTTGGAAATTATGTTGCAAATATGTACTTTCTTCCTGCTTTGAATTACTCGACTTTTTTTTATCATCAAATTTATAACGCAATCTTGACAGATGAAAAAGAAAAGTCGAAAACATGTTTTGTTGGAATATTGAGTCGTCCCACATTGATTTGATAGGATAAATGAGCCTAGTGGGTTACTCCTTTCATCAACAATTGATTTTGGGATGAACCTCACTATGATACACTTAGACTGACCCTTTTGTGACGCGCTTCACATGTGTGGGACCGCACTCGTTTTGTCCCCGTTTGACATGGTATCAGAGCGAGCCTAATTTGGGCTTATGATGATTAAATGTACCCGACCTGGTTGTAGGCTTGGGCTGATGAAGGGCTCACAAGTGAGGAGGCGTGTTGGAATATCACTTGTGAGTCGTCCTCATTGATTTGATAAGGTAAATGTACCCCGGCCTGGCTGTAGGCTTGGGCTAATGAAGGACTCACAAGTAAAGAGACGTGTTGGAATATCACTTGTGAGTCGTCCCCAATAATTTGATAAGGTAAATGAGCCTAGTCTATAAGCCTAGTGGGCTACTCCTCCTATCACCAATTGGTTTTGGGATGGAAACTCACTGTGGTGTACTTAGGTTCACCCTCTTATGGTGCGCTTCACATATGTGGAACTGCACTCGTTTTGTCCCCGTTTGACAATGTATGAGCGCAAAGTATGCATTGAATGCATGGCAAAGAAAAAAAATAAAGATTCTTTTTTCATACAGATCTTGAAAAGAGGCAGTCCCCCATTTCAAAGGCTATCTCCCCTTCACAAACCGAAATAAACAAAACGTGTGAATTGTTAACAATAGATGTGGTATCTAGCTCATACAAGTCCAAGCAAAGACAACCTTAGAGAATTAAGGATATCTAAATCCAGGTTGTTAGACAGTTTGTGTAAAATATAATGTGTAATGGAGCAGATTTCAATAAAAAAAGCAACATTGTCAACTAACTTTGAAACTCAACATGTCCAATTGCATATTATTTTACTAATCACCGGTCTAAATCCAGTTAGACCGGCCTAACATAAGTTCAACGAATGTAACAAGTAGACGTGTCCAAGGTCGGGCCGGTTCATGATCCAGCCCGGCCCTTCGGGTCA